ACTGATTGAATAGAGAGAATAGGATTTGTAGCCTAAACTGTTGGACGGATCTCCATGAAATTTGGTCTAGACGTAGGGGGTAGTCTGGAAGAACACATAGGCTACTCACTTTTTTTAATTTCACGCAGACGTAGGCGCGGGCGATAGCTAGTTAATTAATAAATGAGTTAATTTATGATTTAAGTAAATAATATATGTATTTGTTAATTGTTACGTTTTTATAGAACGTTTGAGATGGCATTCTCTGATTATCTACTATTGTTATTAACAAATACATTGTAATTATTAGTTTTATTTTAAGCTAGTAAAAATAACGTAAGACGAAAACAATTACAACAACAACAAACATAGATACATTCAAAGTGTGAGTCTATATTCAATAAGATATGAATAGACTTGTTAGTAATATTTTTTCATAACAACGTATACTTTTTTAGCCATAGTAATGCAAAATTCCGGAAATATACAAGAAACGGATTTTATTATTTAGAATAATGAATTAAAATTTTAACTGTAAAGAAAAAAAGTCTAAACCTACCTTAAGGCAGCAGGAACAGGACAAGAATCCTAATACCGTGTTGTTTTAGAAAATTACGCGCGCATTTTAAAAATATTTTTTGTATCTTGAAACAACCGCACTAAATGTGCACTATAGTAGAATGAGCCAGTTTGTATGTCCGTGCTTTACTCGACTGTGACCAGTAGGTGACCAAATACCGGTAGGACATGTTTAGAGGTTTATCAATGTAATAACTCAACATTGTCACCTTGTCAGGTGGACAGGGTTTACGGTTTTCTTAGAAGATTCGTTACATATCAAAAAACTCTTACATTTAATAACTGGTTATTGTGCGTACAAATCTTTGATCATCTATAATTAGGCTTATCATAAATTTGAATTTAATTTAGTTACTATAGTTTTAATATGTCGTCCTATTTTTAACAAACTAATTTCCTATATGACTTATGATGCCCATGATTTGTAGATTTGCCTACTATTAATAAATAGCAATAATGCAATCAAAGTTTAGTTGCGGATCCGAATTAAAAGTTAAATGTTTCTCGTCTATCGGTTTCTTTTTATTATTTTTAAAATGAACATTTGAATAGCAAACTGCTAGAACTGTTGGTAGTTGTATTTATAAACAGATAAAAGCTTAAAGTAAATTTAAAAGTGAGTTCAACATTCCGTGAAGTCAAATTAAAGCCCCGGGAAAAGAACTGGCGTCCACATTGTTCCGCAGACGAATTTTAATCAAACAGCTTGGTTTTCGTAGTCTCTTTCTGTTCCATTTGCTACTCGGTAGCCGGCGGCAGGGCTGTGCCCATGATAAATGCGCTGCTTAAATATTTCTCTGTCATTCCGCAGTCGTTTTGGTTCTAGGAGGTTTATCGTGTGATATTTTTGTCTTTTTTAATTCATAAACGTTGGTTGTGCCATTTCGAAACTTTTATTTAAACATCGTTGGAAATTAAATAAAGTCCTTTGTGGACTTAATTTATTAGAGAAATACTTTAGGCATTAGCCACGTTTAAGTTTATGAGACGATTGCCTTATTATAATACCATAGACAAAGATATCGTGAATTTAATCGTTGCTAACCAGACTAGAAAATTGTATAAAGTATAAAGGCAACGTATACTGAGTTATTGAACCGTCAGAATTGAATTTGTAGGTCAAAAAACTTTGCCTGGGAATCTTAAAAATTAGTTACTCACAAAGTTATATACTTGAAGCTATTCACCCTTTAAAATCCTTGTTTAAGGCTGTGTGATGTAACGACGGCTTCGGGCGTAGGCCGCACCTGACGCTTCAGACATACGGCAGTGAAAGTCGATCTCAATTTGACCTGTTGATCTAGTGTCCAGATATAGAGCGTGTTTACACTGATGCTTGCGTTGTATTGCTCTTCGCTCTCTTATTGTACATTACAAGATTGAAGTTAAAATAAGCCTTGTTTTGTGTGTGCTTACTGCAGGACAGAAAAAAAAGGAGGCACAGAAATAATCGTTTAATTTTAATTTCGTACTATTTATAAATCAACGTACAAAAAAACAGCTACATCGTATTATGTAATCTCGATAGTGTGAACGTGTTAGGAGTAAAAAAAAAAAACATTTAACTCGATGTGATCTAGTTCCATTTGACTTATATGTAACTTATGTAACATGGCGTCTCTGTCACTTCACTTATTAAGAATTAAAAACTATTTAGAAAGGGGTAAAACGTTTAGACGAAATTATTTCACATCATTCAAACTTATGTTATAGTCAATTATGTAACATAGCACTTTTAATGTGAATACGCACATCATAGAATTAGACCAAGGTCGTTGACCTTAGGAAGTTACCTGAAAAGTAATCTACGCGGTACCTCACGTCATAAAAAGTAATTGCTTAATTTTATAAATTCTTATCCCTGTGAACTACATTGTTTTAATATAAAATAGTTATGATATATCATTTTATATCTGCATTTGGTTTTGTTTGTATATTTTAATTAGAAAAATGTACACGCCGCTAATTTACTTATTGTGACGCTTTTATTATTGTGTGTTGTAACTTTCAGCTTGCTGTTACGGAATAAAAAATGACTTATTCGAAGTTGTCTTGTTTCCATGCGATTTATGTTATTGTGTACGGATAATCGATTTATTTAACTAGGTTTAGTTAAGTGGCTTATCCAAAAGTAGATGTAAAATAAAACCAATGCGACTGAGAGGTGTGTTAAAGAGGCTGTCTTATAATTAGGTCGTTGTCGGAGGCTCGTATGCGGTCGACACACGCAGGTTGCGTGGCCGCGGTTGCGCAAACTAATCGCATGTTAAGATATGTTCAAATTGCCCTACGCTTAGGCATGCTAGTACTTAGTTACTTAGTGTATTTCTTTTTTTATATCGCAGGTTGTTAATACTAATCTAAAAGTTGCTATGTATTGCATCGACGATCTCCATGATATGTTTCAATCGTGAAGTCATTTTTTTCATCTTTAACAATTAATATTATAGTTGTTAGTTTATTTTATGCATATCCGAATAGTTTCTTAAATAATCTGAAAGCTGCAAAACTCATTTTTGTAATAATTTTAAAAATATTAAGCTAGGTGACAAGTCCATATAGTATTACAGTATATTATCAGATGTTACGGAGGTGGCTTTCGTAGTCCGGATGTGACGTCACGTCGGTTCACGGCACTCGGATGTTCTAATGAAAGATATTACTTTATATTTATGTAAATACTTATTACATAACACATATAAGTTCATTCGAGTTTTAATTACATAAAAAGACATATGATCACTTGCACTATAAGCGACTTCTGAATTAAATGTTATGTAATTTGGATGTTTACGTGTTTGTTATATCGATTTATATAAACAAACATTTACTACAAATAGCAGACAAACATTTTAAGTATATTTTTTGGCGCTTAGTATATGTTTTTCGTGTGACCATTTAATATTTCAAGTCCTGAGATCTAAGCTCCATACTAGACACTGATTAAAAATCTCAATCTATAATTAGTTGCTTTGTATTCACATTTGTACAGTTTTGCTTACTTGTAATTCGATCACAGTAACCAGAGAATGATCTAGACGAAGGTTAGGAAGGAACCTGATACCCATATGATAGAGAACTAAGGGCTCAGTTTGCGTTACCGTACAAATAAGTTGAAGAATTCCTTGGGATTATACACTCGAGGACTTTTAATATGGTTTTGTTTGAAACTCATTAGGTAGGTTTACCATGTATAGAGTATCTCACAGTTCTACATGCCGTGTCACATTTACGACCGCATACATCAGTATGATCTGGTTCTACTATTTACATAACACATGTAATTAATTAGACCGATATCTTACATAACAGACATAGGTAGTTTAACGTAGATAAAGCGTTTAAGATTTTTTTTTACATTTTTTTAGTTCTATACAGTTGTATTAAACGTAAACAGTGATGATATTGTTACAACTTCATAAAGGATTCAATTAGAAGCAACTTGGAGACTCGGAACCAGAAGCGTTTGTTTATGAAAACGTAGTAATTAGTGTACGGGCGCGAGCGAGGGAATCTAATCCCAACATAGCGGCTCACAAGACTTGTAACACACCACCGAAAGCGAACCGGAGCCAAAGCGATAAATATAAAAGCAAATTAAAACTGATAATCAAATTTTGCTTATTATATTAGTATTTATAGTAAAAGGGTAGCTGTTAAATGGTTTGTTAAATAAACCAAATCTCTGGTATCAAGATTGTCGCTTTGGTTCGCTTTCCGCTTTGATATGTTAGAGGCTTTTTAACTCGGTCGTAGCACGGACACGAAATTTCTGCCTCATTACCTAATTAGCTTATGATTCGCGCGTGCAGTCCGGTTGTTGAGATAATTAGAGGGCACAGCCGCTCGCTTCTACCAAATCATCTCTGAGCTTTGTCAAGTGTACGTCTACATATTACTACGAACTCACAATATAGCTGTGAAAAAGTAAGGGAACGAAATATTAATAAAACACATAAAAAAGGTCGAGTGGTAAACGTTAAGAAACAACACTAACTCAATCCCATTCTTCGCATACCCATTGTCGCTTGATAAAGATTTTTTTGAAAGTAGGGCTATGTTGTAACAAGTCAACAAACCCAACGAATAAATACAGCGCCCAACAAGGAGCGACATGAAATAACAAATTGTCTACACACGCCACTTCCTTGTGAATAGCAGCGCCATTGACAACACACCTCCTCAGCCCGCCCGCAGCCTCAATAAATTGCACAAGGAACATCTCATGTCAACCTCTACTACACACCATGATCAATGACTACTGACACACCCTTTTATCTGTATTATATGGATTTAAGAACTTCCTTAACTTGTTAACTTAATTCGTAACTTCAAATCTATATTAAGTTACTTTAGTTTAATGATCACTAAGTATGTAAAATTGTAGATGAACTAAGCAATAAGTAGATGTACAAACACTGAAATGATTTCGCAAAAGTAATTTCCTTGGTAACGTATTTAATAGAAGTGTGACTCTAATTAATGGTTTAAACGCGACGCCGAGGCGTTGTTTCAGTTAATTAAAGCGACCAACTCTGTTTAACTCCTGCCGATTGTCAACTTCAACAAATATTCCGCAGCCCGCGGGAGTAAATAAAGGATTCGTCGAGTACAATACGGCTACAGGAAATTATTGTATATGACATTTGTATATGAAATGTTTTACACGAAACATTGTGGGTAAAATTTCCCACACATTTTAATTGAGTCATTATAGTCTTGAATAGAAGTTGATAATGATTGCTATCCGAAGAGATTGTCCAGGATCTGAAATATTTCAAGATGAAAAGTTTTTTATGTTGTTTCAGACATTGGCCAATAGGAAATATAATGTCTCTTGTGAGGAATAAACGAAGGACAGACGTATGTGAAAAACGTAACAACAATTTGTTTGATATCGGCGAGGGTGAGGCGTCAGATTGTGGCAGGTCAGCGCGCCCCGCAGCGGCTAGACCATATAAGCTTGCGCGCGGCCGCCGCTCCCACTGACCGGCTAGTCCTCTCTCACTGCGCAGGCGCATGTCAACATACAAATTGTGAATTAAAGTGATAGTGGTACATCAAGATGCGGTTATATGTATGTTGTTTTTATTAATTAATATGCATATAATGTAATGTTTAAACATTTTTAATATTAATTAATTATTAAACGGCTTACTCACGTCATACTTTTTTCCGGTGACGGCACCGATCAGTTTCCACTAATTTAATTTTTATTATTTTGTATATTTGTAAATAATAAGAATTAAGTATAGCATTATTTAAATGTATGAAAATGTGTGTATTTATCGCATCGCAATGCTCAAGGACATTGCAATCATCATAAAAATTAGAAAATTCAGGCAATGTCAAAGTGAGAAAGGTTTCATAGTCGGGTCACCAAAATGCACTTTTGCACAGTCGTTACTATTTATTATAAAGATTTTCACCACTCTTCTTAAAATTACCCGTAGTTTTATTAGAAAGGTTTTTCTTTAGGCAACCTTCCTCCTGCTGATAGTTGCAGTCAGTGGAGAATTTGACAATAAAATAAATTTGTCGAAGTCGGATAATAATGCCTTGAAGAAACGTGCGCCAGCATTGTCTACAGGTGAGTTTTTATGTTTTTTGTAATTTTTCTCTTATTTAAATTTTTATCATATTTACCATCATTACCAATTGTTTAATCGAGTATAAAACAAAGAGAATATTAGATGAAAAATGTTTTATTAAAAATGTTGACGAGTATAAAGAGGTTTTGTTGAAGTGGAAACTATCGACTCCTAAAATTTTCAATTTGACTTTGTATGAAGATCTTCGAAGTTTATGTCCCTCCAATGAACTTTACTGCTCGACGTCATTCGTTAGAGAATACAATGACTTTGGACTATGAACGATAAATTTTTGCTGAAATTTATAACCGTTCAGAATAAAGTTTTATAACTCGGCAATAATACGGTTCAATTTTTGTTTGTAAACTTTGATGGGAGCTAATATTGGTAGAGAATAAATATTAAACACATATTGTTGTCTATCTTAACTGTAAACTTCTAGTCCATTTGCTTTTATGTTCAGATATATCGGTGTTTTTCAGTTAAGTTGTAAATAAAGGATTCCATATATCGGATAAATCGTATTTTCAGTTCATTGTCATTTTAGAAAATTAATACTAGTGAAAATCTATTTTATCAATTTCCAAATTACACTAAATTCTTATAATTTGTCGTACACTTTGTTGGATTTAAAACAATAAGATTATCAAAGTTACTTAATGTATGTTGGTTTCAGTGAGTTCGCCTGTGAACGCGGGCGTTGAATACGCGGACACGAAGCAGCAGCTAGCAGACAAGTCTCCTTCTCAGGTACAATACACTACTTTTACCCAATACCTGTTACTGGCACCCTGGGCTAGATTTATACGGCGCC